CTCATGGCTCCCAAAGCTGGGACTCAAAAGAAAGAAAGAAAAAGCAATCAAAGGACACATGAAGTTGGTAAAATTGGTCTGTACTCAATGTCTTCTCAGTAACGTAAAACAAAAAAACCCAGCTTAATTCCATTTTACCATATTTCTGTTCAAGTGAATTCATAACCAATGTCTTGTCCAGCATACACCACTGGGCAGAGGCTCTACTCAAAATCAGTGAGATTTTAGCTACACGCAGGTCTGTGTTGCACGTCTCTTCTCATTGTATTGCTAAGGCTAAGGCCTTACTCTTCTGTAACAATTAATTCAAACACTTCAGCTGCTTCTATGAAGGACTTTCTACCTAGGCTTTCCAATAGGCACTGAAAAAGCCTCTCCACCTGTTATCCTGAACTTTCCTAAACTGAATTTTCATACTTTATTTTTTTCATTACTTGAAGAGAATCACACAGCAAAAGCTCAGCTTGTTTGTTTGTTTGTTTGTTTGTTTGTTTTTTCCAGAGTTCTCGCTCGCTCTGAAAAGTTAATGCCTGAGATACCACATATGCCACATTTGGTGTCTCTAAGAAGCTTACATTACCTGATTCAAATATGCAAGTATGTGAAGTTTTTCATGAACAGCAAAGCAAACCTTTAAATGAATTGGTTTTCTGCAATCTCCTCACAGAAGCGGTGAACTGAAAGTTTCTTTTGAGCAGAAAAAAACAGTAGAGCTAATACCAAAAAAAATTCTCTGAGGCAATATAAAGGCATGTGTACAAACACGTATACACGGTCATTCGGTCACACAATAGATACAAGATATGAGACAAATTTTGTACATCAGTGTTTACTGAGGGAAGATAGTTCATGAGGACCTGTCAACCCATGTACAACATGATGTGTATAGCATTGATTCTGTCAGTTGTATTCAAGTAACACAGCTCGAATTTCCTGACTGATGCAGAGAAAAAATAGTGCGACTACATTCACTTACTACATCTATGAAATTGCAGGTGTTTTGCAAGCATGTAGGCAGATGGATTCAATCAAATTAATCATTCTGCATCATTATATTCCCTTTAGAATATTTTTGCTCTACAGATTCCTGAGCCTGACAGGTATCACTGCCTGTGTTTCACAGAAGGCGTAGCTGACGTAGGCAGGATTGCGTAACTTGCTCAGGTCACCTGTCAGCTTGGTGACAAGCCAAAGCTTTAAGCTCAAGATCTCCTTTAACTCTTGATTTTTCAATGCAACAGCTTTGGGCAGGAAGCAGAGGATGCCTTATCCAATAAAAGCCAAGGTGGAATTTAGGCAAGCCAGACCAAGGCTCTATGTCAAAATATGGCCAGCAAAGCAAACATGGCAACCTCACCCTTTGGGAAAATAGCATAATAAAATAAATTATACCAAGAATATGGTATTACCAATGGAATTACTTCTTAAAGTCCCATATCTACAGATACCACAGCTGGGTAGGTTCTCTCTCCTTCACAAAACTGACATCTGTTTGAGTAATGTAGCCCTGCGTTAGTTACTTTTTGGCTACATTTTAATGAGCATTTTTCCATGGACTGTGCAGCACCAAATGCTTCTTTTCAAGAATTTACAGTTTATTACCTGTCCTGTTGTAAGATAAGAGGCCAACTGAATGCTAGGGTCCACTGTGGGATTGCACACACATGGGAGTTGAGACTTTTGGAGTAAAATAAAAGCAACAACATAGTTAAACAGCAATTCCAGATCTAATTTTTAAATTGAGATGCTAAAACAATGATGGCATCAAATAAGAATATATCAACATCATAATCTTAAACAAAGATGTACAGCACTTATTGCTGCATTTTAGAGCAGCAATATCATATGGGAGAATCTAGTTCATTATTCTCAAGATAGCCAAAACTGCTCTCTGCAGTAAGGTGTAGGTGCCTGAAAATTACACAGCTTCTTGAGTCAGTGTGGATCTCTATTGCTCCATTCATAATTAGACTTTTGACTGGTACCTATCCAGATCATCTCATTCATAGTATGATTTACAGGCAGGGAGAGAGACAGGCAAAGCAGTGATTGAGGAAATACAGAAGAACTGTTTCACATGACAAAAGTATGTTCTATGCCTGATATTTTCAGAAATGCCTCAGTTTGCTTTCCAAGTAAGTATCATTTGGCTATTGAATTGTCCCTCTTTGGGGATGGCTCTAGTCCAGTTTAAAATCAGAGTTGCGTAATACATGCCCACTGCATCTGGAAACTAGCAAACCTAAAAATCCATTGAGGGTTTAAGTTGTGTTGCTTGAAAGACTTTAAGAATATCAAGGATGCAGAGTGTAAATGTTGAGGGACCTTTCCTTAAAAGTGTGCAAATTCTTAACCTGAGCAAAAGTCACATTCATGTAGGTGAAGATAACTTTAAAGTAAGGACACTGTTGTAAGCAAAATACAATTGACTGATTGTAGCTACTCCAAACACCAGAGCACATCATCATACCCTGGCTATTTCTTTCTCCCCTATATGTAACATAGAGAGAGAGACAGTACCTGAACAGTTATCAGACCCTTGCCTGACCCTGCGAGACTGTGAACTTGAGGGAACTGAAGGTAATCAACACCAGCACAGGGCTTTGTGGTTTCATGTGACAGGAATTAATCTGCAGGCTATGTATAATGTCAACTACTTGCAGTCTAGTTGTGTACTTTAAAGGCCAACTGAGGAATATTTTGTGTTCTGCAGAATATATATTTAAACATTTTACCTGGATAACATCCTTGACTAAGATGTTTTGGGGTTTTGTTTTTTTGTGTGTGTGTTTTTGTTTTAAGTCTAAATCCCCCCCTCTATTCTACTTGGCACTACAATGGAAATCCTGTGTGTTATATGGATCTAATGTAATAGTAGATAAAAATCAACTGTTCCATGATATTCTTTCTTCATTGAAGAAAAGCAGAGCTGCAAACTTACTGAAAATTACCTCCCTTTTTCTGTTTCAAACGTTTCGAATGAGAAAACTGCTGTTACTCAAGCAACATTAGCTGTCAGATACAAGGTAGCAAAATGAGCTAAACCCCCAGATTTTCAGTTCTGTACAGCTAACTTGACAAGTATTAAAAACAAGCAAATAGTAAAAAAAAACAACAGGAAGGAAAGGAAGCAGTCAGTCTTATCTCTTTGACCAGTACAAAAGCACTGGACACCTGCGGAGCTGCTCAGAGAAATGAAAGAAAAACAGTAATTCTTGAACCACATGCTGACACTGAGGATGGCTTTGCAGAACTGTAACACTTTCAAAGAAACTTCTGCTTTTACCCACTCTCTTTTGCAAGAGCTTCCTTGTCCATATCTGTAAACAAGTCTTGCACCCAATTTCTGTCACTGACAAGCAACCATAACTGGTGATAAACATGTCTTCTAAGAATTCAGAGGAAGAGTAATTCTTTGACCTCCAGAAACAAACCAACCAATCCAACAGCCTTATGTAGAAAAGCTGCCAATCTTAAACATTACCAGTGGAAGGCTCCATTCTCCTTAGGCATTCTCATGATTTTTACCTGCACAGAATAGCTTTTCAATCTCTCATTCCCTTCTTCAGTCTATAATCATGTCGAGGTAGCCTTGGTTTTCTATATGGAAAAGTCATGAGGTTAAGATACATCTGCCTTTTGCAGCAGCAAAGATATTACCATTTGAAAAATCTCCCAGAATTTATTCTCATATCTGAAAATAGAAGTCTGCTCTAAAATTGTATGTAAGAAAGAAACACGAGTAAAAATTTCTTTGTCTATAAAACAGGTAAAGAAATAGTTTTGGTTTTTAAAAAAAGCATGGGTTCAACAGGTGTATCAGAACAGGCAATACCTGAAGAGAGCTGTGGTCTACACACATAATTAATCTTAGAAAATGAGAAACACTGCCAACTTGAAAAAGAAGAAGAAAAAAAAAAAGAAGAAGAAAAAAGGAGAAAAAAGAAAATGAAAAAGGAGAAGAAAAAGAAATTTAAAAAGAAAAAGGAAAAGCAAGGTAAACTAAGTCTAAAGTACAGATAAACAATTCACCCTGCATTCTACATAAAGGTCCTCTATAAAGCCAACGTTATGAAAAACAAATTCAGACACATAGGATTAAAACCATATCAAACAGATAACACTGTGCCACAGAAGACAGAGTTTCAGTCCAATAAAAACAGAACTAGAATTCACAGAATTTAAGAGAGAATGGACAAAAGTTATTTGAAATTTTGACTTTTTTTAGCCTGTCTAAAATGACATTTTATCTGAATGGCAACAATTCTTCCAACTTTATTGATTCTCCATACATCATTTGCAGGTCAAACACAGCTAGCAAAGAAACTCAAAAACACAAGGGTAGCTTCTAATATGTGAGAATATGTCCAGTATTCTTTCACAGCAGCTTTGAATTACCTTCATTAAAAAACACATCCAATTTAGCATCTCAGAGAGTCATTATATACACCGTCATTGCTAGGTTCACAAACATTTTTTAAGTTACAAAATAATCCATGCATATTAAAGACATTTTAAAGCAACACCATAATGAAAAAAAAAAAAAAAAAGAAAGAAAGGGATTAGTATTAAACTCCCTTTGTATGCAAACTGAAGAAAAAGAAACAGAAAGATCAAACACTGTTTACCATAGGTATATGACCAGAACTGTCTTATGAGGGGCTCTAACTGCAGCCTCCTGATAAGATCTGTCTGAGGAATCCTCTCTCTGAACAACCTTGTACCATGAGCCCCATTTTGCAACCACGCAACAAAACAAACAAGGAATCCCAAACTAGATCTCAGTTGTATTTTGCTCTGGCTGGAAAGCAGCAGGCTGAAGGAGACAAATTCCCTGCATAAGCAGCAGCTGCTGTCTAACATACTACCATAATCATCTAGCAACTTACCTAAACCTCACAAAAATAAACTCACTTCTTTAAAGGAAGGGTGTTTTCTTGTTGGGCTGGGCTGTATTTTCCTGGTCAGCCACTGAAGTATGAAGTACCGAGCTGTCTTACCTGAGCTGATCATACTGTGCATTCTTTGCTGAGCCAAGAGCTGTTCGCGTCCAGAAACCCCATCTGAGGAAAAACACGATTCACTCTCGTAAATTGTCTGCAGCATATTCCAACTGGTCTGTGCTTCAGCTACACAAGAGATTCATCACTGCACTTGCACATGGGTGTCAGGCACGACCCTCTGCGGTTCTACCTCCTCCAGCGAGGGTTGTAAGATAATAAGCTTCAGCAACAAGCAATGTTTAAGCATTTGCACAAGTATTTATCTGCAGGGGAAAAAACCCCAAATGCACTCCCAGCAGCCCCCGCCGGCTGGAAGGGGACTGTGAGCACACGGGGGTCTGCGTGCCGCCGAGTTTGAGCAGTTGCGTTCAGGCAGCCAGCGGCAGGTGGAAGAAGAAATGAAGCAGTATCTCTGCTCTTCAGGTTTTCTGGTGGGGGGGACCACAGCCTCCTACAAACCACCAAATCGAGTGAGCCACCTTAGCAGGGACAGGGAGCCCCCGAGGGCTGAGTCGGATTTACCCCAGCCCGGACCAGCGTTGCTGTCCCCATGCCCCTCTCCTCTCCCTGGCCGGCTCTCCCTCAGCTGGGCAAAGTTGGCGGGAGCAGCAGCAATAACTCATTTGCATTTGAATCGACACCCGCGTGGCCCAGCGGCGGCAGAAATAGAACAATGGCCGGCCTGAGCCAAAAATAGGTCAAGCATGGCCGAGTGATTGGAGCCTGCATTAATGCGTTTAAAAATACCACAGCAAACACAGCTGTCCAGTCGCTGTCTTTCCAACCGCTCCGCCGCTTGGCCTCGAGTGTGATTAACCCCTTCTCCCTGCCCAGCCCGTTTCGTTGGGGAGACGCCGTGGAGGGAGGAAAGGAAGACAGGGAGCAGGACAGAAACACCCCTCACCCGGGACTCTCTCCCTCCTCCTCCTCCGGAGCGTATTTTGTGAACAATGAGCAAAATGCCACGGCCTCTGTATCAGTCCTAAAATACCCCGGGAGGTTTTGCTGGCTATGTGGTCTGCGCCTCGCCCACATGCAGCCATCCTGCTGTTCTATTTTTGCTGCCCGTTTCTCTGGCTACGCCACAGTTGGCTTTGGCGCGGGAGCCAGGCTGCTGCCTGCTCCCCTGGGACCTGCGGCTGCCTCACATAGGCAGAAGCAATCGCTGGGGCTCATGGGGGAGCTGAAGGTGGAGGCAGACGCTAATGAGGGACCGGGTTTTGTGCGTGCAGTTATAAGGTGCCTTTCCGTATTTAGCAGAGTTGATACAATGCTTATAGTAAGTCACCCATTGTGGCACAGCATGCTAGACACGCTGACCGACTATGCACTGTTCGGTTGACTTGCTAAAATTTGGAGAGAGGCTGAGCAGCTCATGCTTATTTTTAGAAGCATTAGGCAATTTGTGTGGCGTCTCTCAGTTTTACAAGACTGGTTTCAGAAGAGCAGTGTTTGACAGTGCATCAGACAAGAGCACAATGCTCCTCTGCATCCCGGCAGGTTTTTGTGAAGTTTCTTTTTCATAGATATTTCAGAAACTGTGGGTCTTGTTTGCTGATTAAAATACCATTGAGTTAGTTTCATTTCACTATTACAGATAGCACTTTACTTCTCTGGGTCCTACTCTGCCTTTGGTAACACAGGTGACCAAAGCCTGTCACTACCTACATATATGATACAACAGCCTGACCACTTGCCTGCCAAAATTCTGAGTCTCCTTCTATGCCTCTGCTCTAGGGAAGCAATAACAGACACTGGGACACTGATTCCTCACTGTAATCAAGAAGCCAACAGAGGTGGCATCTCAGAGCTTTCTAGACATCCACTAAATTTTCAACTATCTCCAGCACTTTTTGCTCCTGAAGGCACAAGAAACTGACTGATACTTGAGGCTTGGTTCTGCCCTTTGCAAAAGGATTGTCTGTCTGCTCTTCAACAAACCCAGTAGATCATAGCCAAGGGCAATGTTTTTTGTTTTAAACTTATCACGATAGTGTTACCGAAGAAAAGATTCGCAATAACAAAGCACTGTGATGTTAGAGAACTCGACAGCGGCTGGGAGGTCTGTGGCTCAAGTCTCCTCCACCATCCCAAACCTTTGCTTCTTCCATGTGCCAAATGACGTGGCTCTGCTCAGTTAGGATCTGTCCCCCAGAGGTGCTGTCCTACCACAGAAGCTGACAAAGGGGTTTTCCCTGCAAGATCTTCAAGTTAGCACATACTGCTGCTCAACACCCCTCTGTCCTTGCTTTCCCTCTACCCTCTCCCCCATCTTCCCCAGGAACACTCTACCCAGGGAAGCAGCAAAGCTATGCAGGCAGCATACACCTAGTTTTGCCAAGGGCAAGAACAGGGGTACATTTGGCAGCACAGCTACTGGCAGGGTGTTACAGTGCAAGACCAGGATGAGCGTCACACATACCATCACATATTGACAGCTAGCAATTTGGTATCATTTGTATTTTCTCTTGAGACTTAAAGTACCCAAGTGTTTTGTGGGAAATACATGGTATTTTCACAGTACAGAGCAGAAGATGTTTAACACAAGTGCAAGGAGGATCACCAATAGAAACAGTTATCTTCTTTAATGCAGAAAAAGCTTTTAATAGACTCAAGTAAATAAAAAAAAAGTGAAATTGCTTGTGCCCTTGAGCCAACCAGAATATGACCCTGTTTAGTGATTCAGTGCCTCAAAATAATCATATCACAAGCAAACACTGGAGGAGTAAGTTAGAAATGGGTCAGAACATGGAAAATGGTGGAGTGTGGGATCTTGGTATCGGGTACCCATTCGTGTTTATAGCTTCTTATATATGCATCTGCATTTCTAAAGATAGCATTCACAGCTCTAGATGACTTCAAATAGTTCAGTAGCTAAATAAAAGCAAACTAATATTCAAGAGTAGACAATGTACATTCAGATATTTAGCTGCAAGCATTATTAATTTTGGTGTATGTATTTTAAGCTGACAGGCTTATGATGTTAGCTAATTCACAGACCATAGTACCTACAGCATTGTACTCTACATTTTAGATTTTATATAAAAATTATATCAAAATATTTTACTTACGAAGTCAGTCACCCCAAAAGTAGGGCTTTTACAGACTGAATACTTCCAACTTGCTTCGATGCATTGTGGGCCTGCTTTGGTCTGTAAATCCATCCCTTTTCAGCATAATATTTAAGCACATGCTCAAATTCTATTGATCACAATAGAATTTAAGCACACAGTTTAACACTTTGCTGAGTTAGCCCAGCTTTTAACTGCATGATCACATGAGTTTAAATAGCTTCTTCAGAGTCCCACAGGGGAAGGATAAAGGGTTCATGCCTGAAGAAAATCTGTTTTTTATTTTTAAAACTATGGATGCTATAAGGTGACATTTTCATACAGGAACATGAGGGGTTTTGTTCTGTTTTTTTTAAATGCATTTCCTAAACTTGGAGAACTTTAGTGATACTGAAGGCAAGAGTAAACTGTTGAAATGATTCAGTACTGCTGAGGTGACTCTAAATGCAATCAGCAACTTTATAGAAAATGTAAGGCATGTTAAGTAGCACTAAGATCTCATTACAGGTGTTTCACAATGTGTTTCTCTTATTTTCCCTCTGAGTTAAAAACAAATAAATATAAGGAAATTAAATCTGGAAACAACATTAAGACTGAGAAATTAAGAACTCACAAAGAGCTAAAATTTCTACTGCATTACTAACTCTGCAACATTATAATTAAGTAGCACTTTTATCTTCTTACTTTCCCTTTTAAGTACAAACAGTATATTACTGGTTGTTTTTAGCATATCCCATTTCTCTCTCACATTATTCTGGAGCATAGCTTTTATCAACAGTTTCAACTTCTGCAGTTTTCTTACTTGTAAATGAATTCTTACATATATTTTTCTACCATATAGCTCAATTGTATCATACAACTATTACATATAAAAATAAACAGATGTTCTCTAGCTTCTAGTTGTAAGCCTTAACGACTATAGCACAGTCTTACCAGTGTCCCATTCTACATTCTTTAAAACCCTTTTCCGTTTCGCAAGAGAAAACAGCAAGTAATAACATGCACCAATATCAAAACATTCATAAACAAGTGGGAGCTAAATTAAGGTAACATGGGTTTTATTAAATATGGCCTATTTCAGTTCTGAAGGTTTGAGTTCTGATCTTTGCAGCCTAAAGAGCTCCTACTTTTTTTTTATTGTTTTTATTTTTTTTTTTTAATATCCAATCACAGGATTATAAAGAAGAAGAAAAAAATTAACTATTGTATAGAGCAGATGTTTCTGGGGCCACAGTTCGTTAGATACTATTAGTACCATGTGAAACCCAAACACTCAGCATAAATTACTACAGTTTACACTAGAGGATTAACTAGGTTAACAAACAGAGGATGACTACTTTCACAGAGAAGCAGATGGTTTGGGAGAAGAAAGGAATTAGAGGAGATGCTCAAGTGGTGTGGTTCTGCTCCCTCCTGGAAATAAGGGACTATATTCCAAGCCTCTGGGGAAGTTAAGATTTATCACTTAATCCACATCCTCGAGTTGGAAAGACGCAGTGAGAGAATGTCTCTGATCGCTTTTCTGTGTAGCAAGCCTTTGGCACTGCCTGTGCAGGAATACCTATTGCTTTTTCTTTGCAGCACTGTGAAACCACAAGATGGGCATTTTTCAAGTGAGAGAAGACTGCAATTCTAAATGTGTTTAAGCTCAATTCAAGCTTCAAAGGCATTTTCTGGGACAAAAAATAAAAGGCATATCTGCAGCCTAGAGGATTTTCTGACAAACTATAGGAGAATAAAACTTCATAAAGTTTTGAGGATAAGGAGTGCCACACTAGATAAATGTATGGGTCTCTACTATCTCTCATGTACCAATATAGAGAGCCTCACATCTTTCTCATGCAAATTAGCTCAGGGCTTTTGGAACTAGCTGATGACTTATCAGGTCTTTCTCCTCTTAAAATATGCCTTTCTGCTCACAAAATACATCTAATAGAAATTAAATCCCAGATTCAGGACAGAACCTCAGTTGCACATACTTGATTATAA